GTCAGCTAAATCAATGAGATTTTGCATTGACCTTCTACTAGTGGAATCTTCAAGCTTGGCAAGACTATTAAAAAATAGATAAGGAATATAAACAACTATGTCTATAAAAGAACTGCTATAATGTAAGCAAGCTGCAAGCAGGCTAGAACCAGCAAAGCCATCTGAGCCACAATGGAGTCAATTTGACTGAGCTGAGAAGCCAGTGGGACGGGGAAGATAATGGCAACTGCAGAGACAGCAGCAGAGAGGCAACACTCAGAAATCACGGATTTTCCTCGATAGATTTTAACTGCAAGTTGGTTGGATGAGCATGTAGACAACTCAGATTTATCCATGTGCATGTACAAATACGCTAAAAAGCTAAGAAATGTACTTCTACTTATATCACTTTTAACTATTTTAAGATATGTGCTTTTTAATTTCTTGTTTGCAACTTTTTAGCTAAAAGCTTGCAACTGAAATATATTTGTCTGACTTGAATATTTGTCTATAGTTTGTTCAGCTTTTGTATATTTTCAATCATATGATTTATAGCTGTAAGAATGGTTTTTGAAGTAGCATGCCTGTTACTTGTTTTCAACAACTTTAAAGTATCTTCAAGATTTTATGCATAAAAGCAATGTGGATGAATAAAGTTTGTAGAATTAAACAAGCTAATGTTGCCTGGACTAATTTTTCTCTGTTTACTTCACTATGAGTGAAAGTTTTATTCACATCATCTGAGGAGAGATAGATCAAGATTGGAAGCTACATGTTTGGAGAGCCAGCCAAGGGACCTGACTGATTAATTACTGCACCTAGAAATTTTTGGCAGATGAACTCTAATATGATTGCCAGAATTATTTGATTGACATTAATATTTAACCTCTTCAGGAATAAACGTTAGTTGTGATAGACTGCCAGGGGCTGAAACTACAATGCTCTGAGGATAATGTCTGAGTGTTATAGTTTTGACCTTGATATGCACAAAGCTTGTACTGACTTCCAGATGACCAATCAGAAAACAAAGTAAGCTCACTAGCAAAGTTGGAAAGTGTCAAAAGCACCTTCTGTGACAGTCAGCTACTCTCAAAGTTTAAGAAATTCTGTCTTCTAACAGTGTGGTGGTGTAGTGGGAAATGTGGCCATTAGTTGTTGGTGGGGTGCTCAGGGATTTGGGGTGCTGCAATTTGACAAGGCACAGTGTACTAACTTATTGTCAATGCCTATATGTATATAGAGATTAAGCAACTTTCTATGAACAACTTTGGACAAGGTCGTAGTGCAGGATAGAGCACTGGCATCTACATGCGAGAACTTCAAATCCATCCCTCACTTTTTTGAAAGAAAAGATAACAGACAGGGAAGTCCTTTCACAGTGGCTGAAGTAAATCAAGGGAGCACTTTGAACAGGAGTTCTGAAGCACACATTTTTGCTGTTAGGCTCCTTCTCTTCCACAAATTCTCCCTTAGCATAGCCACTGCTTTGCACATGAGAGGCCAAAAATGGATACTGAATTCTCTGTTTAATGCCCGAAAGTCAAGAGTTCATGTAAGATAGTGGAATGTGTCCATGTTCTGTTTTTGAAAAGTTGTTACATTTGCATTTTGAAAGGAAATGCATTTCTCCATCTACTTTTAATTGGTGGGTTTCACATGAATGTCCCTGACTTGATATTACTTTACTTTAAATCATACAAAAAAAGACCATCTGCATATGTACATCAAAGTTTTCAGATTACACGTACACAGATGTAATCAGGATAAATACTTGGAATCAACACTGAGCTGTATGCACAATAAAGGAAGAGAGTGTACATATGGTTGCAACAGTGTATGCGGCTTAACAAAACTCTAATTTGTCACACACTGGTTATGAAAGCCAACACAATATTTGTCTTAAAGAAAGCAATTCTCAACAATATGCAGATTATACTCTTACTCAGGACCAACTGAAAGGAGATGCCAGCTTTGCAGTCGGAAAGTGATAAAACATTATCCCTTGGAAAGTAATAAAACATTCCATCAAAGCTGTTTGTCAGCACAAGAAACTTGGAAATAAAGCTTTTTTTCTTTTGCTTTCAAATAATTAATCAAGAAATAAAAAGAAGCTGATTTCCAACTTGCAGACAAGCAGAACCCTTGCGGCAGGATAAACGTCTTTTAACTTTCATGAAGCTCCAGTTCTTATTGCAAAGTGATCGTTCTTATTTGGCAATAAGTATCTAAAATAACTTTTATTCAAGCAGAGAGCTGTTTCTCAAAACTTTCTTTCCTGTTTGATTCAACACTATACCCCTGTTATAAATTTGGTATAATCAATCTCCGTGCAAGCAAGCTTTTCTTTAAGCAAGCAAGCAAGCAAGCAAGCAAGCAAGAAAGAAAGAAAGAAAGAAAGAAAGAAAGAATGGCATACAACTTCTCAATCACTAATGACAGTTTCACATATTGCAAGCTTTATGTATATGCTGGTAGTTTAAATGCAATTCTAAATGGGGATGCAACAAAAAAGGTATGAAAACACATATATCATAAGTACACTCTCTAGGGAGTCCTGATTTTCTGCAGCTCCCTGGTGAGTATTTCCTAGTGGCAAACTGTGGTCATTTGGAAAATATGGAAACAGCTCTGATGTATTTGTATTTACAGACATCCAAAAAAATGTTACACATCCTCAGCTTACATATTCAGTACAGGATAAATAGACCTAGGCTCAAATACCAACTCAGCCATGGAAACTCAATGGTGGTGCTGTTAAAGCCATGCCTTAAATACACCTTGAAAATCCTGCTGGAACAATTGTAAATCAGATGTCACTTAATGGCACATAACAAAATGAAAAGGTATATATATCCATGCTATCCCAGTGTTCAAGATGCCAATCATATGAGCATCATACTATTAACATTCTTATGAACATATGAACATATGGTTGTTGTGGGTTTTTCGGGTTCTTTGGCCATGTTCTGAAGGTTGTTCTTCCTGATGTTCCACCAGTCTCTGTGGCCGGCATCTTCAGAGGACTGGAGTAGGAACTCTGTCTATGCTCTGTTGGTGTTTGTTGGATAGTTGAGATAGGGTGTTAGACTGCACAGGGAAGCCACTGAAATCCATAAACATAAACAGAACTTCAACAGGAAAGAAGAAGACCTAAAACTAAACACAGCCTGGTGCCCCATTCTGAAAAATACAACCTACAAAAGGTCAACAAACTCTACTCAGCCACAAGGGCCAGGCATCATTGCACAAAAAAGACCAGCTAATGACACCCATCAATCACAATGACAGATAAACTCTCCCTCCCCCCTCCCTTATCACAACAAAAACATGCTGATCACCCTGTCTCCTGAAAAAAGACAAAATCTGTTCCCCACAGCTATAAATACGCAACTATCCAACAAACACCAACAGAGCATGGATAGAGTTCCTACTCCAGTCCTCTGAAGATGCCGGCCACAGAGACTGGCAAAATGTCAGGAAGAACAACCTTCAGAACACGGCCAAAGAGCCCAAAAAACCATCAACAACCATTAGATCCCAGCCGTGAAAGCCTTCACGAATACATATGAATATATGATTTTCTTGAGAGGCAGGGACATGCACAGAGTCCCCCTGTTGGCTGATGGGCCACCTAACTAAACATAGTTAGCTATAAAATAAATAAAACATAAAAAATTAATTTTTTAGTTAGCTGGCCTATCAGGGTCCTCTCAAGATGGTGGCGGCAGTGGAGGAAGAGGAGGCAGAGGCAGGCTGGGGGGGGCAATGAACCAAGAGTTTTGTAAATTTCCCCTAAAATTCATTGGTTTGGGAAAGTTCCAGTTCTCTAGTTTGGACAAACCAAAATTGATCCAAATCAATGAATTATCGGTTTTTGACCAACTTTCTGGTTAATTTTTAACTTTGTGTACAGCTCTAATCCTGACCCCTGCCTAATGTTCTGCCAGCAGAGTGGCTGTGAGTCTGGGCTCAGGTCAGTTTGGAACTGGCATAACTCAGCTAATTTGCAATCTTTTTTTGGTTCTCCTCCAGGCAGATTTTCTCCAGCAGGTAAGTTCTACTGGCAGTTATCTCAGAGCAGCTGGCAGATGAAGGTTCTGCTAGCACGAGGGCATTTCTGCCAGAAGAGGATGCTTCTATCTGCTCCTAACCCCGTATAGCTGGCACATCTTTGATTTAGGATTGCTATAGATGTTTGTATTCTTAGTGAGGGATTTTTAGTTGGTGGGGAGTGTTTGGGGAATTTTTATTTATTTTTATTTTATTTATTTATTTGATTTTTACCCCGCCCCTCTAGACCATGTCTACTCGGGGCAGCTTACAAAATAAAACAAAACAGTATAAAAATATACAATATGTGTGTACACGTGGGTCTGGTCTCTGGGTGCCTGTGTGAATTTCGTTGTATGGGTATACCATGTATATACTTACAATGACAATAAATTAATTGTTGCTGTTTGTTGTTGTAGATCCCCACAAAATTTGTCCAACTAGTTAACATTCAGAGATGGATGGGGAGTGGGAGCAAAGTTAGAGAAGCTAATGTAACCTTTTGTATTTTCCTCTTAATTAAAAGGCAGTGCATATTGTAAACATGGGAGACTTATGGGCAGGTATATCTACACCATAAGACCTATGGGACAAATACAGTTAAGAGAAGATGCTCCATAGTCCTGATTAACATAGATTCTTTTAGACTGTGGGATGGAAACAAGTGAACAAAAACACAGATTATGGATGTTTGCCTAGCAAAAACAATCACAGAACAGGTGCAGAAAGACTGTCATTAAGAATCCCTTATTAAATATTGACAATAAATGGACAATCTCACCTGGATATGTCATTTTCCCAGTGAAATGAGCTTGTGCTAATGTTCTAGTGGGATCTTGCTGGTATTTAAGCCACAAATCAAGGGCCCGTGGACACAACTAATTTTAACCTAGTGTGAATTTGCAAAGCAAATGAATGTGAGCAGCAAACTAACACGAGCATCAGAACAGCTAAATGGACACTTACCTGTGAGTTCTCCTCCTCAGAGTCTCTCAAGAATCACTGAAGAAGGTAGATTATATCCAACCAAGGATAAACAAAAGCAGCCTGGATAGCAAAATAAGTAAACAAATAAATAAAATTAAATAATAATAACAATGAAAGAGGGACTGACTTTTCTGTTTCTTTAATGCCACTACATGATAGAAACACCACATTTACTCTATCGCCTCCCAAATTAGCTCTTCCAAAGCAGCTAGCCATTTCCATTAATTCATGAAAAAATGTAAAAAGAAAACAAAGACAACCATTACATCTGCAAACCCTTAAGACAGACAATCCTACTCTTGGCTCTGAAGACAGACTATCCGTATCTTGGTTTCTTGCCCTTGGAGAAATACATCCAGAGCAAAGAAGGCCTTATAGGCCCCTTCCAACTTCACTATTGTATGATTCTATGAAAGAACAATCAAGGTGTGTGTGTATGTGGGAGGGGGGGAAATCCTGCAGAAAGGCATACTCAATGATAAGAAGTGAAGCTCATTTGCCTCATGGTGTACATAATCATTGCATTACAGCTACTACTATTGTTTTTAGCACTACTCTGCTTGCAGTCATGGTAGCTGAGCTGGGGTACCACAACAGCAAATGTGAAAATAATTCATAGAAGAGTGCTGAGTTAGCTATTTACCACATAAGCTTAGATAGCATTCCCCCCGAATGGATCATGCAAAATCAAATGGATCATGCAAAACTTTAGGAAGATAGAACAACATGCTTTAGCCTAGAAAAGCTTATGTCTCAAGACAAATCATGAAATGTTTCTTTAAAGTAATTAGTTATATTGTAGTTCCAACACTGAAAATAATTCATTACCATTAACTAATGGTTACACATTATACAGATTTATTACAGATTATTATTGTTGTTTAGTCGTTAAGTCATGTCTGACTCTTTGTGACCCCATGGACCATCCTGCTTCTTTGCTACAACAAAGGCACAATGTGCACTTGATAATTCTGTTTCACCATTTTGTGCAGCCATCTGATTATTAGTTACCAATTTTATAAATAATTATTTTCCATTTTCCAAAAATACTGCAACAGTTGCTTCTTAGTGACCTTTTTGAAAAAACCTTACTGTTACAAGCCAATGTTCTGTGGTACAAAAAGCATCCTCTCTTCTCATCCTGCTTCTTTGCTACAACATAAGGCACAATGTGCACTTGATAATTCTGTTTCACCATTTTGTGCAGCCATCTTCCCATAACTATAAAAATGACTATTAGAGTTACACTACATATGTAGTTATGTAGGGGCTGGGTGACCATATGCTGGGGCCTGAGAGATTGAGAGAAGGGCCTCCTTGAATATCTTACAAAGCAGATGGAATTGGGTGTCATCAGCACACTGGTAGTACTAGATGACAAAATTCTGAACAGCCTCTTTCTGGTTTTTCGTGTATATGTGAAATAGTATGCGGAATCATTGAACTCTGAGACCCTCCACAGACTAGTGGTTGAGGTGTTGAACAGCAGTTTCCCAACACCACTACCATTCACAAAGTGACACTACCCAAGGGAAAATCCGATAAACTGATTCGTTTTTTATCAGTTCACCACTTCTCACCCAAACACAAAGCAACTGTCAGGGCCGTTTTCCAACAAGTGTCAATGGCAGTGAGCAGAAGAGGGTATCTTGTAGACCATCTTGACTGCTGCCCTTGGTGTTGTCAACATTCAGGCTGCCTTTGTTTTGTAAAGCTTGGCATTTTTTTTCCTGCTGGCAACAATATTGTGCAGCAATACTGGGCCATTTCCTGGCTTTTTGAATCATGAGTACAGAAGCACAATATTCCACATTCATAAACCAGAGGTTTTTTGAAGAATTGAATCCCTGTGTTGTCACGAAAGCATTTCAAGGTAAGAGCTAGCACTTTGGACCAGAAGCAAAAGGGGACCACTGAAATAGTTTTAGAACAACTTTATGACCACCATAAAGTTGATGCCTTTGAACTGTGGTGCTGGAGGAGGCTCTTGAGAATCCCCTGGACTGCAAGGAGAACAAACCTATCAATTCTAAAGGAAATCAAACCTGAGTGCTCACTGGAAGAACAGATCCTGAAGTTGAGGCTCCAATACTTTGGCCATCTCATGAGAAGAGAAGACTCCTTGGAAAATACCTTGATGTTGGGAAAATGTGAAGGCAAGAGGAGGACGACAGAGGATGGGATGGTTGGGCAGTGTCATTGAAGCTACCAACATGAATTTGACCCAATTCCGGGAGGCAGTGGAAGATAGGAGGGCCTGGTGTGCTCTGGTCCATGGGGTCACGAAGAGTCGGACATTACTAAACGACTAAACAACGACGATGCCCACCAAATGTGCTCCTGTTATCTGGTTCCACATAATGCATCTCTTTTGATTTCTTAACAAGCATCAAAGTCCAAGACCAGACCAAAGAAGCAGACAAAACTGCTGTAGCTCCATTAAAGTATTAAAGTAACTGCAGTACAGGGTAGGTGGAAAAGGGATTCCATCCTACTCAACAAAGGAATGCAAAGAAAACATCCTATTTTAAAAAGGAAGCTGGCAGTTCCTCCACTGTCAGACTTTGGCTGGGAAGGCAGCTTAGGCTCCTGCCATAAAATGTTGCTTGGGAGGTCAGTGGCAGCCTTTAAATATATCTCTCACCTTCCTGATTCATTGAATGGGGTGGCATGTGGCATTGTTTTCTTCATTTCCATGCTCCGTCTGGAACAGGGTGAAGCTGCAGAAGCTATGTTCCCTTTTATTTCATATTCTGCTTGTCAGTTCTTCCTTTTTTCCATGTCTCTTGCAGTCCATCCAATAAATCAATATTCAATAAATCTGTATGAGCATATTTATGAAAAAGAAAATGGTTGAAGTTTTTTCCTCCTTGCTGTTCAAAATGTAGCATTTTTTCATACCACTCATTCAAAGAATTCAACAAGACCATATTTTCCAGATACATCTTTGTCTGTGCAGATGCTTTAGTTAGAATGCAAATGTCATATATTTAACATGTAAATGAAGTGACATAAATATAATGCTTGAAATCTGCACTTCATCTCAAAAAGCAATTGCAATCTTTAATAAGAATCACAGAAGTTTGGGGACTGTCTGAAGACACCACATGCTTTTAACTGCTGCTTGAATTGTTATCTCTATCTAACTGCTGCATGTACACTTCAGAAGAGCTCATCTCAACTTAAGGGCTATTTCCTAATTTACTGCATGTATCACCCTTGCTCTTCCTCCTTCTGCTTTTTGCTGGGCACACATTGCAAAATATTTCCAACATGGTCAGTCTCTGGCTATATCACATATCCATCTTTGTTTCCATTTGTTCAGCACACAGAGAAAATTGTGAGTAAGTATCCCATTCTGCACTGTTATAAGGAACTGAACAATTTATGTCAGGAAATGGAAGAATGATGTAGACACTAAAAACAGTAAGAAAAGCATAGCCAGTTATGGGCAAGTTTTAACAAGCTGAACATCATAAGAGAGAGCTCACTACAGGCAAGGCAAAGCAGAGACGCAAAGGTGAGCCTTTCTACATAATTGTGAAATATGGTTATGACCTTGGTATATTTGCATGGAGGAATGTCTTTAAAAGCCACTTATTGATTCACAAGAGTGGGATGCCATCATTACTTAAATTATCCTCTTTCTCTATTAGAAGTCATTCTGAAATTTTATGAAGCGAGCAGAGAAAATTTTAAATAGCTCAAACAAACAAACAAACAAACAAATGAAATATGAAGATCAATTAGATCCATCCAGGGGTTTTTTAAAAAGTGGAAAAAAAAGTGAAATCTTCCAATGGTCAACCCACAGAAAGACAGTGTTCTTAACATTCACCACTTTACAGTCTTGGTTTTTAGGAAGTTGCTGTTTCTCACCTGCAGTTACCTCAAAGGTCTATGAGGGTTCTATAAAGCTAAATGCAGAATAACAACCTCAGCTAGGTATTTCAGATTTGGATGGAGAAAATGCTAAATAAAACAGAAGTGTAATTTGAGAATATTGAGGTGCCAGCTGGATGCATTCCTAGAGGGCTCTGAAGTGGTCATGAGGACATTTTGCCTTTTTGTCCTCCCCTTTGGATTACTGTACCACACTCTGCATAGGGCTGCCTTCAGAAGTGTTCAGAAAGTCCATCTGGGTCATATTGATTTGGCCATGGTTCTCATCTAAGCCACTAACAGACAACTTTTGATTCCTCCATTACAAAAGCTTCACTGGCTATCTGGTTCCAGATACAATTCACGTCCTGTTTGTGGCCACAACTTGATTTGGAGAAAGGCTTTGTTAAAGAATATGTTCTCCCAGAGCAGCCTCCCTGGGTCCTCAGAAATTGGGGATGGTGTGGAAAAACCTATCTCCCAATCCCTGTCACCTTCAGAGGAACATTTGATAGGTATGCCACAATGAGTCTTCTTAGTGCCCCCTCCAAGGTCTGTGGAACTTCCTGCCAAAGAAAGATAGTCTAGTTCCCTCTATTATTCTCTCTGTTAGCAGGCAAACATATTTGTACTAAAGTAGACTTTCAGCAATTCTGTGGCTGACTGCTAAGAAAGGCAAGATATACTGTATTATTCGCTCCATAAGACGCAATTTCCCCCCCAAATAGTATGTGCGCCTTATGGAGCGAATACAGTAAAAAAAGGGTTCAACCACCACTACCCAGAAGCCTTCCACTGCCATGCTGGGAGGCCTCTGAACTGGCACCAGAGACTGCTTGCTGTTTGGACCTCACCATTCTGCACTGCTGGCTTTCCAGGATCTGCTTCCTGGAGCCCACCTGGAAAACCAGCAAGGCCAACAGGCCTATAGCAGCAGGCAGTGAAAACAGCCAAGGACTAAAGGGGAAACAGTGATTCTAGAAAGACCAGGGGAAACCACAAACACAGTCCCCAACTTAGGCAGTTGATTTTCCCACATTTGGGGAAATCACAGGGGCCAGCACATCCAGAGCGCAATAGATGAGCCTCACCCTGGGAAAACCACTTTGATGATCATGGTATCTCCCCTGCCAGGTATGAGTTGGAATGGCCCCTGAACCTCCTACCCCTTTCTGATTGCCGGAAGAAATATCAACAACCTCTGATATGCAGATGATACCACTCTGATGGCAGAAAGTGAGTTGGAATTAAAGAACCTTGTAATGAGGGTGAAAGAGGAGAGTGCAAAAAATGGCCTGAAAATCAACATCAAAAAAACTAAGATCATGGCCACTGGTCCCATCACCTCCTGGGAAATAGAAGG